GCAAAATAGAAAACATAGAACTAAAAGACCAATAGGTAGCAATAAACCAAGTAATCCAGACTCCCTTGACCCCATTAAGTCTAATTTATAAGATCTACTGAATGCCGTTGCTGTAAATTCCACCTCTGTCTTCCTCAGTTTCTCTAAATAATCTGTGTGTGTGTGTGTGTGTGTGTGTGTGTGTGTGTGTGTGTGTGTGTGTAGTTTAAGGATGCTAGAAATTTAAGTTTTATGAAAAATGAACAAAAACTTTGGCATGCCATTTTAATTGCTGGGACTTGAGATTTTATTTCAATAGAATATATTTAGCATAAACCATTGTAGTTTTTGCATTCCTACTAAAGACTCTTTATGCTGAGTTTATTGGCAGGAAGGTTATAATTGAAAGTTTTAGTTTTCAAATAAATTTGTATAAGGTCAAATTTCCAAAGAAAAATGGCCAATTTTCCAAAACATTTGAAAGGGTGAAGAATGCCCCACTAAGATTTAGTATTTAGTATTTATTAACATGGGTTAATTCTGGTTGGGAGGAGTGATGATCTATCTAGACACAGCCCTCTACAAGGTAGATACAAAGGCAGAACATGAGTAGGACAAGAGGAATTTGCTGGCATTGAAAGGCAAGGATTTTTGATGATTGAAACCACAGCTGACACTGATCCTCACCTTTGCTCCCATTTCAGGCCCTAACTATTTTTAGGGCAAAGAACTTGAGACTTGACATCTGAAGTTAAATTTAGTGATCGATATAAAATGGAGAGTTAATGGAAACTGAAGCATGAAGCTGAGCCATGATATCATATGGCAGAGCAGAAATTAGAAAGACTAACAAGTAAAAGAAGAGAGTGTCAGAGACAGATAAGTGGGACTGGAAAAGTCACCAGGAGAGAGAACAAGCAATTTTTTCCCCCTGAAATGACAGCTATTAGAGCCACTTGGGTCCATGCACAACATGCTACAAACGAAGTGATGAGGAGAAAGGCAGAGACGAAATACAGCCTGAATCCTGAAGTCAGAGAGGGGTTGGTGGCTTCTGAAGTCATAGATGCTTTTCTAGCAAGGGCTTCTGCTGCCTTTCCCTATGGGGCAGCTCAGTTGTTCCCAGCACTGAATCACCTAGGAAGCTCCTCAGTCAGCACGGATGTGGAAGAGTGACCTCAGGCCAATTAAATCAGAGTCTCCAGAGGTTGGGCCACATGTTGGTATTTTTTAAATGCTTCCCAAGTGGTTCTAAATTGCAGCCAAGGTTGGGGACCATCAACTTAACTGCATTTAAAGAACTCTTTCTAGTTTCCTGATAGACACTCCCAGTATCAGTTTCCAATGGCATGGGGACCTCTCAGGGCCCTGCGGCTTAATATTCGCCCTTCTTCTCAATCCTGTTCAATTACTAGGACTTTCACCCGGCCTATATTAAGATGATAGCTAACTATCTATAATAGTAAAAGTGTAATATGCAAATCACCCAAAAGGCTGAACAGCAAAACGACCGTCTAGATGCTCATGCTATGACACACACTGGCACCACACCAGCTAAGGCTGCAATGCAATTGGTTGTGGGGGGGCCGCCATCACCTTACAATCGCCCACAGAGGGAGGAGATTAATGGGGGTCTCCGTGATTGCCCCAAAGAGGTAGATCCAGGCTACCTGGCTGGTGGCTCTGTGGTGGGTAGGCGGGGCCTTCCTCGGTGGGACAATGGATTGCAGAGCCCCTGGACTTCGAGAGGGTGCAGGCCAGGCTGAGGGACCGCACCCCCCCAAGTGCACAAATTTTGTGCACCGGGCCTCTAGGAGGTACTAATTCTCTCCCTCTCTCTCTCTCTCTCTCTCTCTCTCTCTCTCTCTCTCTCTTTCTTTCTCCCCCTCATCTCTCTCTTTCTTTTTCTCTCCCTCTCATCTCTCTCTTTCTTTCTTTGCTACTACTTTTTATTAGAATGTTTTAGTTTGTTATTAATTTTCCCATTTGAAGAGCTTTCTACAGTCATTCATAGATGTAATTTCTGAGATATATTTTCTCTAGGGAAAACCATTTATTTGTAGGAGTTACAGGATGTGGTATCCCTTACTCATGCAGGGTTCCTCCACTTTGATGAATGGAGTCACTCATTTGTTTATGAATATCTCATAGATCATATAGATCCAAACATAGATTATCCAAACAGAGGTTTTTTTCCTCTGATGCACTGCACAGTACCTTTCTTTCCTTCCCCTGAGCAAAAAAAAAAAAAAAAAAAAAAAAAGAGGTTGGATGCCTGATTACATTTTACTTTTGTGTTTTGCTTTATTGTTTGAGATTTTTTTTTTTGGTTGGTTTGTTTTTTTGTGTGTGTGTTTTTTTTTTTTTTTTACAAACTGAAGGCAAGATGCTACCCCAGCAGAAAGATTAAAACTTGTTTTATTGTGACACTTTATTACCGTGGTCTAGAACTGAGCTCGAAATATATCCAAGGTATGCCAATAGATGCACCTGAGCTGCCCCTTACTGTTCTTTCAGTTTTGGTTCCTGTTGATAATACTCTTGATAGACAGGGCAATTTATATTAGTGTCTGTACTTGTGCAGCCTACCTCCCTCACCTCATCCAATTTCAGCCCTACCAAATTCTGGCTTTGTTTAAATTTGTAATATTTTGTTCTTCACAGATTTTTTAAAAATATATTTTACTGATTTTTTCACAGAGAGGAGGATAGAGGAATAGAGAGCTAGAAACGTTGATGAGAGAGAAACATCAACCAGCTGCCTCTTGCACTCCTCTACCGGGGATGTGCCCGCAACCAATGTACATGCCCTTGACCGGAATCGAACCTGGGACCTTTCAGTCCACAGACTGACACTCTACCAAAGTCAAACTGGTTTCAGCCAGATTTTTTTTTTAACTTACTTCAAAAATTTTAAATAGTGCATTAAAATATTATTCATCTTGATTACTGAGCTTTTCGGTTTCCCCTTCTATTTTGCATCTGAGGTGAATGCCTTATCTGATCACCCTAGTCCCAATCTTGGTTTTAAAATAAATGTGCAGCTGAAACCAGTTTGACTCAGTGGATAGAGCATCGGCCTGCGGACTGAAGGGTCCCGGGTTTGGTTCCGGTCGAGGGCATGTACCTTGGTTGCAGGGACATCCCCTGTGGGGGATGTGCAAGAGGCAGCTGATTGATGATTCTCCCTCATCGATGTTTCTAACTCTCTATCCTTCTCTCTTCCTCTCTGTAAAAAATCAATAAACTATATATTTAAAAATAAATAAATGTGTACATAAATAACTTTAAAAATTAAATAACTCTTCAATAAATTATCAGATAGTAATGTATAAAGTTGAGAAACAGGTTGTGTGATAGGAAGTGATAGGGTGGGAAACTTGATAGTCAGGGAAGATTAAGAGGATGATATTTAAGTTCAGACCTGAATGCCATGGACAAACCAGCTATAGGACAATTGGAGAAGAGAATGTGAAAAAGCCTCAGAGTAGAAATGAACCTGGAATTTGTAAGGAACATGCCTACACAAAAAGGTTGGTGTGGCTTAAATATCAAGCACCCAATAGGTGAGTAGTACTTGCTTTGGATAGAGTATTGGGAAGGATTCAAATTCTAGGACTTTGCAAGCCAAATAAGGAGTTTGAATTTTATGCTACAGGTACACGAAGCAATTGAAGGGTTTTAAGCAGGAGAGCAACATGATGTGATTGCTCTGTTAAGTAATTTTATTTGGCTGTTGTGTCAAGGATGGATTACAGGGGTGTGCCTGGTGAAAGATAGTGATGCCTTTGGACTAGGGTAATGATAGTGAAGATGGAGAAAGGGGGGCAGGTTCCAGCATTCAGCGTTACTTTAGGAATAGAGTTGACTGGATTTGATGTATTAATATGGAGGAAAGGAGAGGAACCTGGGGTGATTTCAGGTGGCTTAACTTGAGCAACTTTGTGGATGGTGGTGCTATTTACCAAAATGGAAAAGACTGGGGGATGCAGGAGAGGAGGTGAGTATGCAAATTTTCAATTTTGAGTATGTTGGGTTTGAGATGCCTATTGGATATATGCTGAGTAAACAACTGATATAAAGAGGAGGGGAGGAAGGATTGGGCTGAAAATGGAAATTTGGGTGTCATCCGTGCCTTGATATAATTTATAGCATGATGATGGATAGAAGAATCCAGGTAGAGAGCACAGCTGGAGATGACAGGGAGGCTGGAGATGTCCCCTTGGGAGCAGTTGTTGAAATAAGGGTGGAGACAAAGGAAGAGTGAAAGTATGGTGTCCTTGAAGCCAAGAGAAAAATGTGTCTTAAGAATGGGGCAAGGAGCTGCGCTGAGAGCCACTGAGAAGTCAACAACAACAGAATCGGGGCACATAAGTAGCAAAAGGTCTGGGCAATACGGTGGCAACCTCCTTTAGTGTGGAAGGCACAAAAGCCTAATGGGGTAGGTTTAAGAGAATGGAAAATAAGGATGTCGAAACGGTTGATTCTTATTGCCATTTTATGAATGAAGAAACTGAGAATTGATAACCATCTCATCCAAGATCAACACCAGTGGGAGTGAGACCTTTGACCTGGACTCTGTGAAAGGATTTGCAACAGGGAAGTGTATGCTTTGCAAGAATTTATGCAACGCTCTTCCAAACCGTAGCAACCAACATTGCACTCAGAAGAACCCTTGACTTAACGCTTTCTTTCTCGATACTGCTTCCATTTAAAGAGAAAAAAATGAGAAACCCTGGATCGGTAGGGAGAGCCCATCCGAGCCTCTGGTTTAGCTGGCAGGGAGAAGAGGGAAGGGAAGGGCCGCCCCTTTTCCGCAGCCCGGCCCGGCGGCCCACTGCGGCTGCGCGGCGGCGCGGGGCGGGGCCAGCGCGGCGAGCGGGGCCGAACGCGGAAGGGGCCGCGGCGGGCGCGGGCGGCCGGGGGCGGGGCGGCTGCGGGCGCGCGGGTGACAGGTGCGCGGGGCGAGGGCGGCGGCGGCGTTCGGAGACCCGAGGGGAGGAGTCGCGGTGGCGGCGGAGATGCTGGAGACCTTGCGGGAGCGGCTGCTGAGCGTGCAGCAGGATTTCACCTCCGGGTGGGTATTCGGTGGGGACGGAGCGGGAGCGGGGGGCCTGGGCCGCCGGAGGAGCCGGGTGTCCGCCCGGGACGCCGCCTCCCTCCCCTCACATCTCCTCCTCTCCTCTTCCTTCCCGTCTCGTCTCGTCCCGCAGCCCAGTCCAGCCTTGCCCCGCGCCTCCCCATCCCCGCTCCGCGGAGGAAAGTAACGAACTTTCCGGCTCGGCCCGGGCGGCACAAAGTAACTTGGGTCCCAACGGGCTGCCTCGGTCACGGACGCGCGCTCCGGGGGCGGGAAGGTGTGGGGAGCGGGGGGCCTGGGCGTCCGCGGCCGGAGGAGGCCGGCATGTGAGGGAGCGCGCGGGGCTGGTCCCGCGACCCTCGGCGCTTCGAACCCGGCCGGACACCTGCCCGCCCGCCTGGGTGCTGCTGAGACCCCACCTGGCATGGGACCGCCGTCCCTCCCCTCCTCTTCCCTCTCCTCTCCTCCCCTCCCCTCCCCAGGGCACCGGTCCGCAGCCTCTCCCGGGCCTGCGGGCTGCGTCCGGTTTCAGTTCGCGCCCTGGTAACCTTTGGCGAGGCTTTCTGCCTCTTCCCCTTTTACTTTCTTTCCCTCCGTTTGCCCCTTGGCCCGGGTTTTGGCGCCTCAGCAAAGACACTCTTGGGCAAGAGAAACGACAGCACTGCAGCAATGCTGTGATTGCCTATTGGTTAAGAGCAAAACCCGAGCGCTTCCCACGCTCCTCTTAGGATCACCTGGACACACCTTTAACCATCCTGATGCCTGGGTCGCACGCAGCTCATGCCAATCAAATTAGGCCCGGAGTGGGATTTTAAATACCACCCCCGCAAGGGATTCTAGTGTGTGGCACAGGCTGGGAGTCACAGTTCTCATCTCTGCCGCCTAGGCAAGTATATTTCTGCAAGTCACTCAGTTGCCTCAGTTTCCAGGATGCGCTACAACTGGGATAAAGGACTGTTGTGAGGATTAATGAATTAACATGTAATATATATGTGTCATATTGTTATTACCCTGTCACTGTCGTTATGAGTGCTAAATTCATTTTAATTTTTCCATTACTTTATAAAGGATCTGCCTTGTCACCTTTAGCTCACAAATCCCTTGGAAAATGCTCTGAATAACGAGGGTATCTTGAAAATGCTGTTTTAAATGTCTAGTGAGATAAATGTTAGCTAAAATTAATATATTGTTTGCCTTTTTGTGTGCTTGGTAACATCCTGGCAAATAGTTGAGTACTTACCACCTATAAAGCCTTTTTGGTGTTTTTATAATATTTATTATAGATGCTCTAGTAGTCATTCATTGATGGTGTGCTTGTATGTTTACATTCGCGCCCCTCCCACCCTTAAATTTAAATAGTAACTTCTTTTCAGAGTGTAAATTATTGTATTGCGAATTTTTAGAATGATGCTGGAATTGTCTGCTTGTAACATGAGTATGGTAAACACACCTGTTACCTTGACTTCAGTGACTTCAAGAAATTCCTTGATGGAATAACAGTTTCTGATTGTTACTGTAACTCTCTGATGGTATGGTTAACTCAAAACCCATTTATGCACCTGACCTTTGCTTAGGAAAGTTAAAACTTACCTAGGAGTATGAACTCTGGACCAAAATCACCCTGGGATAGCTGAGTAACCTGACTTTAGGGAGAGATCTGTGGGAATCGGATTAGAACCTCATGGAAACTAACTTCTTGAAAGATGCCATGGAGTGGGACCAGTTTGGAATTTGACAGCCTGAGAGGCCTTCCATTCCGTTTAGGCCCTTTGGTGGCTTTCTCTCAGCTGACAAACTGCTGGACTGCCCATGTGTATGTATTACCTGGCAGACAGATAACTCATCTCCAGGTGTTATCTCTCTCCCGGTTGACTGGGAACTCTAAACGCTGATGTTCACTTTTGTCAGGTCCTCCAATTCCTGTGCAATTCTTACCAAGAAAACCTCTGCTTACTTTATTTTAGTAAACTCTTCCATATTTAGCTTGAGATTAACCTATTTTACACAATTGACTATTTTGCCTTGCTGAAAAAAGATGAAATTAAACACAGCACACGTGTATATTACATACAGGCACTGAGGGATTCTAAGATGAGAGTAACGTGGCTCTCACTTCCCCAAATTTTCTAATTGGATTTGGCATTCCTTTAGACCACTTGGTGTTAATGCCCACAGAAGCCAGAGCAGCTCAAGTGATTGGCAACTAACTTTAAGAGTTCCCGTTGCCCCAGGGAATCAGTCAGTACAACTGGCAGGCTTTTTCAGAGCTGCTTCAGTGTGGCCACTGTGGCCTCAGTCATCGAGAGCAGCATCCTCACCTCGGTGCTCATTTTCAGTTTCTGAAAATTTATGTAACTGGAGCTTGAATGTAGGAAAATTAACTTTTTAAGTACAATAGGCTAGTCTTTATTCTCACGTATCTGATGAATGCCATGAATTTCTACCTCCCATTTAAACTTAGAAAGAATGAAACTAAAGTTCATCAGTTAAGGGCAGTGTAGAGATTGCTGGTGGCCTGCAGGGGACTATAGGTTGTCCAAGGACTTGTGGCCTTTTTGGTAAATTTTTATTCATAATATTATGTCAACATTGAGACAAACCTAGAAGTTATGTCCCTCTCTGACCAAAGTGGGTGGCTAGGTGGCCGGAAGGGATTGGTTCTAGACCTCTTCCCCTCACTAGAGTCCTGTTTAGATTTAACTCTCTCAGAACTGGGAGATAGTCACACAGACTATATGCTTCTCCAGGAATGATTTGAGCTCGGAGGGAAACTTTTAGATATACTGAAGTGCACACTTTACACCACCGTGGTCTTCTTTTTTCTTCAGTATAAAACTTTCCATTTTAATGAAATATTCAGAATAAATTTGATTAAAAATTTGCAATTAACAGTTAAGTATTTAGGAACAACTAAATGAACTAAATTAATGTTTTTCTTTATTAATTTTGCAAACATGAATATTTAAAAGTATTGTTGATGCTAAAATAATGTCAGTTGCTCGATAAATGTAAAAGATGAATGAACAGGATCTTAAACAGAGTACACTTAGTTGTGGGTAATCATCCCCACACACAAAATCTCCCTGGACAGTAATGAGTTCATCCACTGGCAGATGAGCTGTCCATTTTGGAATTTTTTTAAGATATATTTTTTATTTATTTCAGAGAAGGGAGAGGGAGAGAAAGATAGAAACATCAATGATGGGAGAGAATCCTTGACGGCTGCCTCCTGCATGCCCCACACTGGGGATTGAGCCTGAAACCTGGCAGTGGAATCATGACCACCTGGTTCATAGGCTGACGCTCTACCACTGAGCCACGCCAGCCAGGCTGTCCATTTCTTGAGACCCTGGCCAATAATCCTAAAAAGGTTAGCTCTCCACCACACCAACAAAGAGCCTAAGGACACAATGCTCGCTCCCAGTTCGGAATTCACTCTTGGGAATAAGGTTAACAGGCGCTGACTCAGCTGGGCCAGCCTGGCCCTAGTCCTTCCAGCAGTGTCCACATAGTGTTGCAGCACTTTTAGAAGGTGGTCATTGGCTCATCTGCAGAACAGTTCTGAAGCTGCATGAAATAGGCACGAGGATGTTCACATTTGGGACATGGCTCTGCTCTAGAGTCAATGTTCTCCCAGGCAGCTGCTCCGCCAAACATATCATCCACAGTTTTCAGCTTTGGATATTTTCTTTTTGTTACCTTGGGGCGGGGGTGGGGGAGGGTGTGTGCACAGAGGGGCAGGTGTTGTAGGCAAAATGGTGGCAGCGCTCCCCCTCCTCCTCTGCAAGCCAGCAGACTCAGCATCCTCAGGCTCCTGCAGCCCACTCTGGTATTTGAGTTTACCTGTGGAGTGGTTATGACCAAAGACCTCAGGGTTGACATATTCAGGCATGCAAAACCCTCCAAGGAACCGAAAATCAGATTTCCTTAATGATTTACAGCTGCCTGTCACCAGCGGCATTTCCTGTTTGTAATACTCTAAGTTCTGTGTATAGGGATAAAACTGTTACTATTGGTCCTCCAAGACCATAGGTGTTTGCCCCTCAAAGCCCCCTCTGCACAGTATACTCCTTCTTTCTTCTCCCCTCCTAAAGTACCAAAACCTGCTCAAAGGAGAGGATCTATTTATCTAATTATCAGTGTGTTAAGATGGTGAGGTTTTGCCTGAAATGTTACCTTTTACAGGACTATTTACCTTTTTAATAAGCAGAAAGCTTTCTCAATATTCAACTTCACCTAATAGATGCTTACTGATTTGCTACCACGTGCCAGACACCAGTCTAGCCTCTCAAACTGTACCTTTCTATAGAAGCATTTTCCATTTATTTAAAAAAAAATATTTAAGAGGTCACATGCTCAGTTTTTATAATAGCTGATGAGGTTAGATGAGTAGGAAATTGAGGTGCAAAAAAAGAGAATGCCACTGAGGTCACCCATGCCATTGAATCAGCTAGAGAAAAGCACATTTTCTGTTCACCAGTCATTGCAGTGCTCAATGTGTCCTTCTGTTTAACTCCTTCTTTTTGAATTTTTGTCTAAGCAGTTTTGCTCATCACCTTCATTTCTTAATCTAATACTTTATGTTAGTATTTTTTACAAAGCTTGAAAAAAATAAATGTGCTGGTGTCAAATTAAGGTTAAGTGTTTGGAACAATCTAAAAATAAATTATTGAAGCACTATGGTGAATTTGAGGTTTTAGTGCTTTGAACTCAAAAGAGTGCATTAGTTGCTTTTGGTAGAAAATAATTGTCAGGTGGCTCACTTAAGTCTGTATATTAATATGCTCACACAGCAACACATATCTTCCTGGGGCATACGGTATTAGGAAGGTTAGGAACAGTGGAGAAGCCTTTTATAGGGACTGGTGCATGGGGGGACTTCCACTGTATTTCACGTTGGCCTGATAATGTAATAGTTTCTTACCTTTCTTGATGGTGATGCTTTTTATTTGAATTGGCTCTGTAGTTTATGCTGTCTAAGTCATATTTGGAAGTTT